CCCCCCTTTGCGGCTTGAGCCCCTGCCGGTCTGCACACCGAGTCCTCCTCGCCCAGAGGCCTCCGCTCCGCCATCTTTGATGCCCCCGTCGACCACCAGCCCCGACCTCTGCACTCTGGAATCTCCGGGTGGACTCCTCCTCCTCCCTCGCCCTCGGTCATCTCTGATGCTCCCCACGGCCACCAGCGAATCTCCGGGTGGGCGCCTCCTCCTCCCTCGCCCTCGGTCATCTCTGATGCCCCCATCGGCTACCAGTCCCGACCTCCGACCTCCGCACTCTGGGATCATCGTGTGGACTCCTCCTCCTCCCTCGCCCTCGGTCACCTTGTGGCCACGGCCACCATCGTTCCCTAAGATCTCCGTGGAGCTCACCCCGGCTCAGTGCCTGTGCCTGTAGACGCCCAGCGTGCTCGGCACCTGGCCTCCCTCGGCCCTCGCGGACTGCACTCCCTGTTGCCGCGCCAGCACGGGACGCCTCGCTCGTCCCATCGTGACTTGGGAGCCCCCTTTCCCTGAGTGATTATAACAACCTGAAAGGCACCCCCGCGTCCTGCCCTCCTACCGCGCTGGAGCACTGGCTGTAACTGCTTGGCAGCCGATAAAGGTGGATGGAACCTTTATTAAGTCGTGCTCTAACTCTCCCTCTCTCGCTCCCTTCCCAAACTCCCCCTGCTGTGCAGCACGGCAGCAGGCCTTTCCTGCCTGGCCTGAGCTCTCGCTCCGACGCTCCCACAAGCATGCGACGTCTGTCCGGAGTTGCAGGAACAGGCCGGCTGGTGTTCATCAGCTCTGTGGCCCTTGGGCACCGATGAACACCTCGGTCCCATGTCAACCCTGCTGGGGACTCAACTGGCTGAGGTTGGACCTTTGGTTACCAGGGAGACGAGCCCCTGGGGACAAGGTCTTCACTCTCAGATGCCTGAGAAACAGCAGAGGCAAATGGACCTGCAGGTATATGCATTAAAACATGCTGTGCTGGGGGAGAGGTGGCGTGGTGGTTAAGGCTCTGGGCTTTCACAGAGATGACCACAGTTCAAATCTCGGCCCTGGCACTTGCTTTCTCACGCTTTTCCTCTCTCTCTCTCTGGTCAAATAAAAAAATTAATAATAATA